GGGGAAGTATACAATAAAGTTGTTTTAGTACATTCAAAAAAGTTGTGTGATGCCACCACTATTTAACTCCAAAACATTTTAATCACCTCCCAAAATAGGAATAATACTGACACAGCCCTCTTGGGTAACCAGCCCTGTTAAGAGGTGGCAAAGCGCTTTTACTTGTGTTCGTCTCCTGGCAAGCCTCTCTACCCCCGGATAGTGTCACAGCCCATCCTGCCCGCCCCCTGCCCCCCTCTCCACCCCAGTTCTCAGTCAGGAGGAGACCTGCAGTGTGAGGTGCAGGGTCTGCCTGGGTAGCCTGGCCTGGAAGGACTTTCTCCCTCCACAGACTCGGCAAGGTCTCCAGGAGTTGTGTGAAGGGCTGACAAGGCATTCTTGAACAAGTACAGCTACAGGCTTCCAACACAGAGCTGGGAAATTTTTATGGGGGAAAAAAAAAGGTGTCCACACTTGAGAATAACTTTGTCAAACTTTTCTAAACACCAACTTGTACATGACCAAGTGCCAGATCCATTGGAGATCTTTCTATTCTGACTCAGCGTTTAGCACCCACTCCTTTCTACTACTCAGCTGTGTTGAGCCTGAGGCTCAACTTTCCATGTGAAAGGCTTTCAACTCCATCTTCCAGGGGTTCCACTGAAAAATGACTATTTATACCAGTCCCTGAAAAACCACCTACAGGGGCTGGCTGAGTGGCTCAGTTGGTTAAGAGCTTGCTCCAAGAGTTTGAGCTCTGAGCAACAGCGGTTCGATTCCCGGCCTGAGCTGAACAGCCACTGAGCTGCCAACTGGTGGCAGGATGGCTCAGCTTAAAAAAAACAAAAACAAACAAACAAACAAACAAAAACAAAAAACAAAAAAAGAAAAGAAAAACCACCTACAGCCTAGCAAATTCCAGCCGTACCCACTCTCTTTAATCTAAAAAGAACTTACACCGGTTCAGCTGGTTATTTACAAGAAAGCCACCAAAAATATGAGATTAGAACTTCAAAAGAAAGTTCTGGAATTAGGAAATAAAAACTAGACATAATCCATAACAAAATCTAGTTAACTTCCAAGGGACAAGAGAGAGGCTAACCACAATAATGAATTAAGTACTTTTCTCAGAAAAATGAGCATGTGTATGTTAACACAGAGACACCCAGACACATGGGACATACACAGCCACATCCAATTCCAGGGAGTTCTAGGCCTGCTAAAGCCCGCTCTGTGCTTTCATCTGGCCACACATCCCTCGAGTCTAAGCAGGCCCCTCCCCTCACACCATCCACTCTGAGCCACTAATTTTCTGCTGCCAGCCAGGTGGCTTTAGCATATGCCCTTCTTTAGTCTGGAAAGCCCTCTCCAGCCTCCATTCTTCCTTCAAGTCTCAGTTCACATGCTAACTGCAGTGTGAGGCCACCTCAAACAACACTCCCCCTTCCCTCCTGAGACAGCCCCATAACCTTCATGAAAACTCCCAGGGACAGTGTCCACATCTCTCACTGCTCAGGCAGCCAGCACTGGGCTCGTCTGTCTGCATGTGTCCCCATGGGGCTGCGAGCAAGCACAGGAAGGGCCTCCTCAGATACCTGCGCAGGTCAACAGTTTAACTGAGATGTGCCATGCCCACAGGAGTTGGTATGGTAGGATTTCTCTGGACTCTGTGTGACATGGCATTAGAAGGCACCAAGGAGCCCCTATTCCACAGCAACATCCCCAGAAAGACACAGGAGCATGCCTTACCTTGGTCGGTTTTGGTTGCTGGCTTCCAGTTTTCAGCACTAATTACTGGCAGACAGACCTGTCCCTTTTCATCAATGTTGGGGTGATAGATCTTTGTTTTAAATGTGATCTTCGGTGGTTTGAATGGGTACTCTGCTGGAAAGTTGATTTCAATTCTGAAGGCCCCTTTATCATATGGGGGGTTATCCTGCAGGGAAAGAGATCAAAATGAACACACCATGGTACACAAACCTGGAGCTGAGACAGGAATGTTCTGTTTACTTGAAAAATTAATTTATTTCAAGTGGGATATTAATGTAAGACGTGTCACCTTCAGGGCAACCAACAATCAATCAGTATTTCTAGAGCAAGATGTCTTCTAAGTTGTGAAAAGGTCTGAGATTGATGTCTGGTTTCTTTATTTTTTCAAAATAGACTATTTTAAAGAGTTGTTTTAGCTTCACAGCAAAACTGAGAGGAAAGTAGAATTCCCAATATCCCTTCCTCTACATGCACAACCTCCTCCACTATCAACATCTTGCAATGATGTGGTATATTTGTTATAATCAATGAACCCACATTGATACGTCATCACCCAGAGTCTTGCTGTTGTATAGTCTATGGGTTTTGGATTACCGGTACCATACATTTTAGTTGGAATCATAAAGTAGCCTTTTCAGACTGTCTTCTTTCACTTAGTAATACGCATGTAAGGCTCTTCCGTGTCTTTTTCATGGTTTGATAGCTCATTTCCTTTTAGTGCTAAATAGTATTCCCTTATCTGGATATACCATCATGTATTTATCCATTCATCTACTGAAAGACATTTGGTTGCTTCCAAGTTTTTTGACAATTATGAAAAAAACTCCTATAAATATCCATGTGCAGGTTTTTATGTGGACCTAAGCTTTCAACTCCTTTGGGTAAATACCAAGGAGCAGAACTGCTGGATTATAGACAGGGTAAGAGTATGTTTAGTTTTGTAAGAAATGACCAAACCGTCTTCCAAAGTAGCTGTACCGTTCTGCATTCCCACCAGCAATGAGAGTTCCTCACTGACACATCCTCCCAGCACTTGATGTTGTCAGTGTTTTAGGTTTTTGCTACTCTAATAGCTGTGCAGTGGTATTCACATATTGTTTTAATTTGTAATTTCCTAATGACATGAAGTTGAATATCTTTTCATATACTTGTCTGTCATCTGTATATCTTCTTTGGTAAGGTGTCTGTTCAGATTTTTTGGCCATTTTAAAATCAAAGTCTTTATTTTCTTAGTGTTGAGTTTTAAGACTTCTTTGTATATTTTGGATAACAGCCCTATATCATCAAATATAGCTTTTGTAAATATCTCTTTATCTTTTTTGAAGAGATGAAGAGTCACACCAGTGGCATATAACAACCCATCCCAAACCGCACTGAGTGCTGACAGACCAAAGCGGTGGCCTAGACCCAGATCCTGGCCAGTTTGGTCTCACCAGGGTGAAGCCAGCACCTAGCTGAATAGCTTGTCCCCTAGCTGGTTGCCAGGCAGGGCCAGAACCCCATCCTCTTGTCCCTAGGACCACTCAAAGACCTAGCCCTCAGGGGCTGGACACTGTAATGGCCCAAGAGCCTCTGAGAGATGCCCCAAGAAAAAGAGCCTCAGCCTCCCCCGACCTCCAGAGCTGAGCAAGCCGTTCACCTACTGCCTTTTCCCAATACTCCTGGCTCTCCTGGGTCCCAAAGGCATGCCATCATGTCACACCCAACCCGAAGAAAGCCAAGCCTCGCAGAGTGCCCCGGAACGCTCTTGGCAACCCCCACACCACAGCCCTTCCTCCTCAAGCACCAGCCTGACTAGAGAGTCATCCTCCAGCAAACACAGTTCCGCTGGAGAGCCAGGTGGCACATCCCAGGTCTCCACACGCTCCCATATTCTATTTCCACTCAAGGAAGGGAGGCATGGCGCAGTGGCCTCCATGGATAGGTAAGCTTAGGAAAGGCTGAGGGGTAGGAGAGGCCTTCCAGGCAGAGGGGACTAAAGCCTGGGATGGAAGGGACAGCATGGGGCAAGGCAGGAGGCTGGTAGCAGGCAGTGTGGTTGAGGGGCTGCACCGGGCCTGCGTGAGGAAAAGCTGAACTACCCCTTCTAGCAGCTGTCATAGATTAATCTGTAGGGAAGCCTGTCAGGAAGATGGAGACCTAGGGTCAGGATGAGGGTGGAGACGCTAGTACAGTCCAGGCGGAGTGTGCCTGTGTGAGGAGAGGGGACCTACACATACCCGGGAAAGGCTGGGATAAGACTGGATTGGAAAGTCATCTTTGTCCCAACAAAACCTTCCCTATTCCCTTTTTTAAAGGAACACAGAATTCTCTACACCACCATCCAGAAGTTAAAGTAACAGCAGACACCCCACCCCCTCCTGTCTATCCACCTTGAGTCACTCACTACCTAGGAGAGCTAGCCTCACTGCTACCAATGAGTAAGTGGGGGAACTCAGAGGAAACTGCTTTTGGTTTTTAAGGAGAGATTCAAATTCTTTTTCCTAAGTAAAAATTACAGTTATTTACACTGTTTGAGCCATGTTAAAAGAGCTTTCCTGTATGACTTTTGCCTGGTGAAATCTGATTTGTTCATTGTCCAGAACTGATCAACCACCCCTGGGCCCCATCGTGTGCCAGGAACTGGAAGACAAATTAGCCAGGCTGCCCAGTCCTAGTTAGCAGATCTAACCTTGGCCCTGCCTCTTCCTAGACGAGCAAGTCTGGAAACATTCCCGAACATCTGTAAAATAGGGTTAACAGCTGTCTGCACCCAGAGTTGTTCTGATGGTAAGTCTATCAAGTCCTATGTGCCTGGCAGCTCTTCTGTACAGGAGGCAGGAAAGGCCATGCCTTTCACCACCCAGGGAACTTGGCTAAGCGCATCTTAACTTCTCTGGGCCTCTTTTCTCGTCTGGAGCTTGGGGGATAAACAAAGGAGAGGCTCAAGTGTGTGTAAACCACAGACTGCCCCATCCATCCCAGTTATTTTTGTTGAAGGAGGTGTGCAAAAATTAAACACAGGATATACCTTCTAGATAAAGGGCCTAAAGCTCCACATGTGAATTTTAGACATTTTAGAGCTAAACTTATTCTGTGGGAAGGCAGCTAACTATAAGGGACCTTAATGAGAAAACATGGTTTTGTTGTAGAAAAATACTATATAACTTTTGAGCAATTTACTGCAAACTCAAGATCAAGCTGCAACATCATTTCATTACCCAAGTAACCAACCACAGATTTCAACATTTTTATCTTTACATATGACCCTGACAAGTGCGTTTCCATTATTCCTTCCTTTATTTGGATGTCTTGCATTCTCTTCAGCTAATATTGCTGTGCCAAAGAATCTTTTGAGATGTAAAATTTATTTCTTCTGGTAATTTCATATGCTCTAAATTCATTCACAGACTTTAAATTTCACTTATCTCTTCCTTGAAAGTGTTGCAGGTGATTAGCCAAACACATGCATTTTATTTACTTATATATTTTTATTTTTTAAAAGATTTTATTGGGGAATTTGGGGAGGGGAACAGCGCTGGGGAATCGGGGGAAGGGGAACAGACAAGTTGCTGTCCTTTTGTTCTTCAGTCTAGTTGTGGAGGATGTCGCCTCACTGGCTCATGTTGGTATTATCATTGCGCTCTTCCCAGATGAGGCAGATTGGTCCCCGGCCTCTGGACGGCCACTCTCAGCGGCTCTTGGCAGCTCACACTGGCTGCCAGCCACGCAGGGTAGCTTTTTTGGCAGCCCACTACAGCAGGGGCTGCAGCCTATGCGGTCATTGGCGACTCACGGCAGCCCAGCTCCAGGTTGAGCTGTTGTTCACCATCTTAGCTGTAGAGAGGGCAGTGTCACTGGCCCTCATGTGGGATCCGAACCGGGGCCCTGCTGCTCAGAGCTGGCGTCCCAAGCCAGCTCTTAACCAACGCGCCACTCGGCTGGCCCCAAACACATGAATTTTAAAAACCTCATTCAATCCATGCCTAAATTCCAAGACATTTTTTATCCATATTCCCTTTATATAAGACAGTGACTGGTTTAAAAGTGTTTATTATTACAAAGGGCGGGCAGACTGGTGGGGTAGGGGCCCACAAAGGGCGACACAAAAAAAGTGTTTATTATTTATTTTATAAATAGTATGGTTACAATAAAGAAAAATAATTTTTATTTTTTAGAAAGTTTCACATGCCTTAAGAGAGAAACAGATGTTCTTTTTTTTCCCCCCCAAGATTTTATTGGGGAATTGTGGGAGGGGAACAGACAAGTTGCTGTCCTTTTTGTTCTTCAGTCTAGTTATGGAGGATGTCGCTTCACTGGCTCATGTTGGTATTATCATTGCACGCTTCCCAGGTGAGGCAGATCGGTCGCCGGCCACTGGACGGCAGCTCAGGGCAGCTCTTGGCAGCTCATGCCGGCTGTGGGCCCCTCACGCTGGCTGCCAGCCACTCACAGTAGCTTTACGGCAGCCCACTGCAGCCCCACTGCAGCCTACGCTGTTGCCGGTGACTCACAGCAGCCCAGCTCCAGGTTGAGCTGTTGTTCATCATCTTAGCTGTAGAGGGTGCAGCGTCACTGGCCCTCATGTGGGATCCGAACCGGCAGCCGTGCTGCTCAGGGCTCGCACTCACAAGCCAACTCTTAACCAACACGCCACTCTGCTTGCCCAAGAAAAATAATTTTGCACTACTTCTGCACTAAGAGCCCACATTTGCTTTTAGTCATTTTATGTGTGTGTGTGTGTGTGTGTGTGTGTGTGTGTATATATATATATGCGCATGTTAAGTAAAAGTTGACCATTTATCAAGCCCTTATGATATGCTAGGTGCTTTTCTGTCTCATCTCCAATTCATTCCTCTTGACAGCAACCCTCAGGCAGATGCTGCCATCATCCACACTTGGACAGGCATCATCTGGGCCCATCCTCATCACCTCTGTGTAACACGAGGCCAAGGGGAACGGATGCAAATGTGCTGATGTTCATGTTGCTTGCTGTTCAGTGAGTGATAAACTGTCTTTTGTCTCTGTCCGAGAAGTCGCATCATGTCTTCTCCTGGCATCCAATAAAATAAGCTGAGGCAGTCTACCCATGTTAGTTTGCAAATAGGGTGAAAATCTCAGATACTTCAAATTTCTTGGTCCCAACCTACCAAGACACAAAGCCATTCTGTGGCTACCAAGACCAAG